CCAACATACACACACGCACAACGCACACAAACACACACACTTAGCTCGTTACCTACGGTGCGATAGTTCAAGCACTCGTTACGGATAGGGTGATATTACCATACTGAAGGAAAGGTAACTCCCAGAAAACATATGCTAACATATATTATACTCCACGACATCTAACTTGAAAAATAGTTGATGAGTAGTAAGTCAAAGATAACACTTCTAGGCACAGCTCAAAGTAACAGGTCGCAACTGCGGTTGATGCTACGTCTCAAGTTAGGTTAGAGGATGTGTTGTTTCGGGCAACAGAGTTAGTAATTGATTAGGAGCGGACCTGCTACCACTCCCAGAAAATGAAAAAGTTCAGTGGTTCCAGGTATTTGGAGGATGATCAAATGATGGTTTCATTTGAGGTATAAAAGTCCGGTTTTTGTGGCTGGAATTCAAGTTCAAATTTCAAATTTTTAAGGTAAATGGCGAAGTATCCCATTTCATTTCATTTATTACGCTCAGAGAACGTACTACAGCTCACGAATTCATGACACCGGTGGGGATCACGCTGTGGTGAAGATAAAACTATGAACACGACTGACAACCATAAAGGAGAGGAAGGAAAAAAAGGAAAAGAAAAGAGAAAAAACCCATCACCCACCACTCAACTGTTCGCCTCAGGGAAAGTATGGGCACTAGGGAAGAAAGTAGCATCGTCCTACTCCGATTAATAGAAAAATGAAACATAAGAGAACAAAAAAAGGGATGAACAAACACAACGCGACTATAGAATTAGAAGAGCGAAAGTAGCTATATGAGTCGAAAGGTTTTGTGGTTAAGTGTAAAGGCAAAGGGAGTAACTGCCCAGTGCAGAGCCCAAGAATAAGTTAAGAACAAAAGGAACGAGATCGGTAAGCAAGCACGAGCTCACATGCGAACTGAAAAGCATACCCAAAAGCACACCGTGACATATTCCTGCATCAGTCGGTAATGATGTCTGGTTGCCACGTACGGGGTCATAGGAACTTACCAGACATGCTGGGATTTTTCGTGCCACCAGCTGAGATTCCTAAGCTTGAGCTTTATTGATCATTATCACTGCCAGGATGACTCAATCTACTCCACCAACCCGTCTAATCAGATGAAACATATCAGAGTATTAAAGTCATAACATGAAAAGAAGAGCGCTCGTAACGACTACCACCATTTGCCAAGACACTCGAGTGTTGCGTAGCAAAGTCAGCGACATCTGTGTCATCATAAATAAAAAAAACATACATACATACATACATACATACATACATACATATATCAAAACGATTCCCATACAGGACTTGAACAACTTAAATACTCCGTAGCGGGACGAATGCGGGTGCAATGAGAGGTCACAAACAACCATTTTAGCATAACTTTACTCAAGTGCTTCTATTGCGTGTGAAATGGGCCCACTGGATCTAGCCCTGACCTTTCCTTTCCATTTGATGGAAGGATTTGATTCAAAACACTACGATTTGTAAAGGGTGGCCATAACGGCATGGCACACCCGCCTCTTTTAAAGGCACAGTTCACAAAAAAGTGGTTTCAGAGATTTGCACATTTTTTGAATTCGAAGCCCCCTCTGATACCATTTGTGCAGGAATGAGGTCGGAAAACGGTCTGGATAGGCACAATAAAGGCAGGAACAGTGGGGGACGTCAGGCCTCCGCCCCTCGCTAGGTTGACTACGAGTTCAAATTGTCCTTCACCACTTTCGCATTGGAGCAACATTAGTGAAAAATCGATAGGCTGGTTGGCAATTTGCCCACAGACGGTCAGCTTGTCGACCGCCTCGTATTGGGACTACTATACGGCTGTTTCTCTAGTATTCGACTATATTCTACGCTTTTCTATTCTAATTAATTTTTCTCAGCCGTCGTCAAAAGGTCGAAATTGATACTGCATAATAAATCAGATTAATAGCGGTAGGAGAATTAGTTTTAATGAATAAGCCAAAATCAGCTGTTGGTGTGTTGTGTGCAATGACAGACACTGTGCCGCGTTTGTCTGACTCGCCCGAAAAATTCTTATCGCCGTTTTTTCGCCATTTAGCTCGTCCGACCCCCCTTTTCCCTTGTTTTTTGTAACTGTCTATTTTTTTATATTCATCTTTTTTCGCGTTTTCTTTATTACCATTGTACTATTGTAGGCCGTATCTAACATTTTTTTGTCAAGTTTCGCCAAAAAACCGGATACCCCAAAATTAACGTGAGCTGTGCCTTTAAAGAGAAGTTTCAGTTCTACCTTTCGAAAGATATTAATACCTTTAATAATACCTTTAAGAGATTACAAATGCTTGATGGCTATAT